GTTTTCCAGAGTGGCTGCACCAGCTTGCATTCCCACCAACAGTGTAGGAGGGTTCCCCTTTCTCCGCATCCCCGCCAACATCTGTCGTTACCTGACTTGTTAATTTTAGCCATTCAGTCAGTGTAATTCTTAAAGAGAAATTTATAGCAGTAAATGTTTTGTTAGAAAAGGTCTCAAATCTCCCAAAGATACAAATGTAGTAATCTGAAGGGGCACGTGCAACCCAACATATATAGCAGCAATGTCCACAATAGCCAAACATCGGAAAGAGCCCAGATGTCCATCAACAGATGAATGGATAAAGAAGATGTGGTATATATATACACAATGGAATATTATGTAGCCATCAAAAAAGGGGAAATCTTATCATTTGCAATGACTTGGATGGAATTAGAGGGTATTATGCTAAGCGAAATAAGTCAATCAGAGAAAGATAATTATCATATGATCTCACTAATATGTGGAATTTGAGAAACAAGGCAGAGGATCATAGGGGAAGAGAGGAAAAAATGAAACAAGACGAAACCAGAGAGGGAGACAAACTATAAGAGACTTTTAATCTCAGGAAACAAACTAAAAACCAAAAAAAATCTCAGGAAACAAACTGAGGGTTGCTGCAGTGGAGGGGGGTGAAAGGATGGGGTGGCTGGGTGATGAACACTGGGGAAGGTATGTGATGTGGTGAGCGCTGTCTATTGTGTAAGACTGATGAATCACAGACCTGTACCCCTGAAACAAATAATACATTATATGTTAATAAAAAATAAGATTATTATTAAGATATATAAATAATCCTATGCCCACAAATTTGACAATTTAAACAAACCAATTCCTTGAAAGACACAACTAAAACTCACTAAAAAAAAAAGGATAACCCCAATAGTCCTATAGCTACTTAAAAAATTAAACTTATTTAAAACAATCTGACAAAGAACTTTAGACTGAGATGGTTTCACTAGACAATTCTAGCAAACATTTAAGACAGGGAGAGTATCAATTCTATACAAGCTACTCCCCAAAACAGAAGAGGTGTGAAAACTTCTAACTTATTTTTAAGGTCAATAGTATCCTGATACCAAAAGAAAGACAATACAAGGAAAAACAAACACAGACCAATATTATCTATGAACTCAGATGCAAAAAGCCTCAACAAAATATGAGCAGAGTCCAACAATACATAAAAAAGTAGTTTGTCCTGAATGTATAACTGGTTCAACATTTCAAAAATCAATGTAATACAATCTAATATTAACCTATTAAAGAAGAAAAAACAAATGACCATATAATAGATGCCGAAAAAAATCTGACAAAATTACACACCCATTCAGGATAAGCATTTTCAAGAAACAAGTAGAAGAAAATGTTCTCAACCTAATAAAGTGCATCTACAAAACCCTTACAAGCTAACATCATGTTAATGGTGGAGGACTGAACACTTTCCCTTTAAGATTGGGAACAAAGCAGATTCTACTTTCGCTATTCCTATTCAACACTGTACTGGAATTCCTTGCCAGTGCAAAGAGTCAAGTAAAAGAAATAACAAGGGCCGCCTGGGTGGCTCAGTCGGTTAAGCGTCTGCCTTCGCCTCAGGTCATGATCTCAGGGTCCTGAGATGGAGCCCTGCATCGGGCTCCCTGCTCAGTGTGGAACCTGCTTCTCCCTCTGCCTTCTGCTCCCTCTGCTTGTACTCTCTCTCTGACAAATAAAATCTTAAAAAAAAAAAAAAGAAATACAAGGTATATAGGTTGGAAAGGAAGTAATATAACTACTATCCACACAGAAAATTTCAGGGAGTTTACAAAACAAAACAAAAACAACTCCAAAATTAAGTGAGTTTAGAAAGGTTGCAGGATACAAGGTCAATAAACAACAACAACAAAAAACAAACATAAAAATTAATGGTATTTCTATATACTCACAATGAACAATTAAAAAGTTAAAAAATGCTTACTATATGCCTGGCACTGTTCTAAGTACTTCACAAATACCAACTGATCTAATCCTCAAACAAACAAGCAAACAAAAACTACGCCTCCATAATGTAGGTATTTTATGGAGCCATGCAGTTTGGCTCTAACTATTGCATTATTGGTCATAATGACAGGGACTTTAAAAAATACAGCTCAAGGGTGAGTTCCAAGGACCTGTAATTTTTAAAAAGTTCCACAGGGGATGCTGATGCACACCAAAGGGTGAGAACCACTGGTTTGTGCTACAACTTAGATTCAATCATAATTTATAATTCTTTAAATATAACAATGAAATTACAAATCTGAGAGAATATATCTATTCCTGCTTCATGGAATACTCTTTCCCCAACTCTGCCAGGCTACCTTGTAAATCTACTTAACCTTCAATTTTAGGCAATCTGTCAGTTCCCCAGGTAGTATTCCCCAACCTCTTAAGTTTGTGTTAAGTGATTTGCTTACCTGTTCTATTTCTTCTATTTGGCATTTATACAGTCCTATAACTCCCTGTTAATCCTGTCAGTATTCAAGACTAAATTCCATGGAAGGCATTTATTCACTACTGTGTTGTCAACATCTAGCACAATTCTTGGCATCCAACAGACACATAATAAATATGTATTAAATCAATGAACTTTGTATTTTTGTAAGTAATCAAAGAAAGCATAGATCCATTTGTAAAATAATGTGTATCTGTGCCCTCCGTCTTATGAAGTATTGTAGTAACCAAATTTCCTAAAAATTTATACATTATACTGGTTAAGAAAATGTTTACCTGGAAGTTTAAGCTTTCTACAACAAGAATTACAGTGATGTTTTGCTCTGAAGTTTTTTATTGCATCTTCACCTAGATTTGCTGGGCCAAAAACCATATCACAGGATCTATGGAATTGGTAGTTTAAAAAAAAAAAAAAAAGAGGCATTTTATGCAAACAGAAATGTAGAATTTGAAATTATAAAATATCTTAATGAAATTATTAAAATTTATTACCTCTTTTCTTCTGCTTTAATAACAGATGGGTCAGTCAAATTTTCACCCACACCTTGATATGTATATATAAAAAAAGACAATTTATATGATTGATATAAACATTGACATCTGCATAATAAAAAGTCATGAGAGATTCTATAGCATCATCAACCTATATTATATGATGTTAAATTATTCAAGACTGTAGTTTTTCTCTCTTGTTATTTCATAACCTGACTTACGACCTTAACACTGCATCAAAGACAAACAGAGCTCCTACACCAGGAACAGAGTTAATTGTCAGAGTTGGTAGATAGGCAGGTGAACTCCTGATGGCACTTGCTTGTGATGCAACAGGGAGAGTTGCAAATAAACATCTCCTTACGGATAAGGTCTACATGATCCCCCCCCCTTTTAAGATTTATTATTTATTTGAGAGAGAGAGAGAGAGAGCAAGTGCAAGCAGAGGGAGGAGGAGAGGGAGAGAGAATCCTCAAGCAGACTCCCCACTGAGCGCAGAGCCGGATGTGGGGCTTGATCTCATGACCTGAGCCGAAATCAAGAGTTGGATGCTTAACCAACTGAGACACCCAGGTGCCCCTCCCCCCTTTTCAACTTAGTTAAGCAAAGAACAATTAGGTACATGAAAGCATAATTTATAGGCCATTTTAAAAGTGTTTTGGATTTTTAAAACTCATACACTAACACATGAATATACTTCTTGCAAAAGATTCAGGTTACATAAAGAATAAGATTGTAAACATCTTCCTTCACCTTCATCCTTCGCCAGAGGTATTAAAAGCGTGGTTAAATATTTTCAGTCTCTCTTAATCTATTTATTCACATAAAGAAAGAATACCTACCGACCTACTACTAAACAGATTGGCAAAGATTAAGATATTCAGTACTGGAGGGGCACCTGGGTAGCACAGTCAGTTAAGCATCCGACTCTTGGTTTCTGCTCAGGTCCTGATCTCAGGATTATGAGATCGAGCCCCATGCCCCTGTTGGCTCCATGCTCAGTGCAGAGTCTGCTTGACTCTTTCTCCTTCTCCCACTGACCCTCCCCTCTGCTCTCTCTCTAAAATAAATAAATAAATCCTTAAAAAAAAAAAAAGAATATTCAGTACTGGAGTCTTTGGAGAAAGGGGCACTCACATACAGTGTTACGTATGAATTCCTGTAACCTTTTAGAAAAGTAACTCAGCAATAGCTATTAAAATTGCACTCATCTAGGGGCACCCGGATGGCTCAGTTGGTTAAACGTCTGCTTTCAGCTCAGGTCATGATCTCAGAGTCCTGGGATTGAATCCTGCACTGGGCTCCCTGCTCAGCGGGGAGTCTGCTTCTCCCTCTGTCCCCCTCTGTCCCCCACCCTGTCCCCTGCTCGTGCTCTCTCTCTCTCAAAAATAAATAAAATCTTTTTTAAAAATTGCACTCATCTCTTCTTACTAAGCCAATTCAAGAATCTACATTATGGAAATAAAAGTAGCAGTACATGAGTATGTTTGTTGCAGCAATGTTTGTAGTAGCAAAAAAGAAAAAAAAAAGAGAAAATCATGATATACTGTTAGAAAAAAACAAGTGCTTATATGGCATCAACCCAGTTGGAGGAAAACCACAACACAAAATAAAATGATTAAAAATGAGGAAGAAAGGGGTAGCTCAGTTGGTTAAGCATCCAACTCTGGATTTCAGCTCAGGTCATGATCTCAGCGTTGTGAGACTGAGCCCCGAGTTGGGCTCCACACTGGGGATGGAGCCTGCTGAAGATCCTCTCTCTCCCTCTGCTTCTCCCAACTTGTGCTCTCTCTTTAAAAAAAAAAAAAAAAGCACCTCTATTTGTGTATTTGTCTTCATAGAGGTAGAGAAACAGTAAAGATGGGAAAACTGTTCCTTATGTATTTCTATATTGTTTAACTTGTCTGTAGTAATTGTGTCAAATATTCCTATGAAAAATGGCTCCAGGAACATACTAATGATGTAAAGAACATCACAACTACTTAGCTTATTGAAAAGAACTCCCACCTTTTTATTTATTTATTTATTTATTTATTTATTTATTTATTTATTTATTTATTTAAGTAAGTAAGTAAGTAAGTAAGTAAGTAAGTAAGTAAGCTTTACTCTCAATGGGGGGCTTGCACTCACGATGCTGAGATCAAGAGTTGCCAAGTCCTAGGGTGCCTGGGTGGCTAAGTTGGTTAAGTGTCCACCTTCAGCTCAGGTCATGATCTCAGGGTCCTGGGATGGAGGTCTGTGTCAGGCTCCCTGCTCAGCAGGGAGTCTGCTTCCCTCTCCTTCTGCCCCTCCCCCGCTTGTACGCGCTCTCTCTCAAATAGATAAAATCTTAAAAAAAAAAAAAAAAGAGTGACAAACCCTACTAAATGAGCCAGCCAGGGACACTAACTCCCATCTTTTAAATTAACAGTTCAGACAAAATCAGTTTGGCTTTACCTCCTATGCATGTTTGAAGACAGTTAGATGATACTTATTTAAGAACTTTAAGATCCTTTTTACTTAACTGGATTGACCCATCTAATAATATACTGTTGTCACTATATATACACCACTAAATCATTTATATAAAATGATGAACTACGGAATAAAGGATAGTTATTTTTACACAGATTTTCTTTCTTGAGCTTGAATCAATGCCATTAAAAAGCACAATCCTTGATATCTGTGACTATGTATATAACAAAAAAAAGTCATCAAGTGATAAACATTCTAAATAATCGTCTTTATGTGATTATGAAATCTGGTCTGTGTTGACACTGAAACTAAGGCTGCTCTTTAGGGAAAAAAATTATGGAAGCTATAATGTGAAAGTACCACTCAGAAAGAGTTGGCAACTTGCTCAATTTTACCTTCCTTTGACCCAGACATTACTCTAAGCAAATTTGCCTTCATCCAAGCCACAATTTCCTTTTCTTCCCCCTTTTACCTGTATGACAGTCTGTCTACAAAAATGGTTATGATCAGTTTTTCCTTCTTTGTATACATGCTACTCTACTCATGGAGTACAGAATCCATTCCCCACCTCTTGAATCTGGGCTGTCCTTATTATCTGCCTTGATCATAAAATGTGGAGGAAGAGATCTGGGCCAGTTCTGGACCTAGACCTAAGAGTTACTGCTTTCTCTCTGGAGGAAGCTAGCTGATATGTAAAAGTGTAACTACCTGAAACTACCATGCTATGAGAAAGCCCTGTTAATTAGCCATGTGGAGAGATCGCGCGGTGAACTGAGGGATTCAAATGTCAAGTGAACAGAAATCTCAGACAACTGCCTCCAGCAAGCTGTCCACGCTTACTCTCCAGCCATTCACACCCTCTGAGGGGACAGCAGAGATGAGCCATCCCCACTATGTTCCATCCAAATTCCTGAACCAAAGAACTGTAAGCAAATAAAATGGTTGTTTTAATCCACTAAATATTTAGGAAGTTTGGTTCACAATAATAGATAATATAAACACCAGGAACAACAGAAATACTTGTTACTGTTTCAAAAAAGTCTTTATAATTTTAAAAGACTGAGACTACAAGGGCGCCTAGGTGGCTCAGTCAGTTAAGCATCTGCCTTTGGCTCAGATCATGATCCCAGGGATCCTGGGATTGAGCCCCGTATCGGGCTCTCTGGTCGGAGGGGAGCCTGTTTCTCCCTCTCCTGCCGTTCCCCCTGCTTGTGCTGCCAAATAAATAAATGAAATCTTAAAAACAAAACAAAACACATCTAAGAGTAGAATAATGGATTGCATGTGTTTTTGCTTATTAAAATATCTGTATTACCTAAATAACAATTAAGATAGCAAGATCCCACTGTTCAGGGCCCTGATGGCTATATGCTATGGCTGTTACTTGCTTTTTTAACAGCTTCTACTGACCCACGTTTTTACCTATCTGTAAGTTAGCGGATTTCTGTATATCATTCATAAAATATGACTAGATAAGAATCTACTTACAATTTCACTTTAGCAATACTTTAATAAATTTACCTTGTAAATCAAGTACCAGTAACTCCCCTCTTGTATATTCGTAAGTCCAGTGGCTAAAGGCTAGCATGATCTCTTCCAGTGTATTAGTTGGAATAATCTCATCACCGTTATTATTATTGTATTTTCTAAATTCTCCAGTCATACATTCTTCCACAGCAAACCACTGTCCTGCTGAATGGCAATACAGCAGGAAAACTTCAAGGAACCTTATGAAAAATAGTTATAGATATTACTAGCAGTTTTGTTAATAAAATTCTAATTGAGCTTTAAAATGGGTAAATAATTAAATATTCAGCATTAACAAGAAGGTCAAAAGAGAATGCTGTCCACATAAAACCAAAAGATCTCAAGAAAAATTTCAAGATTTACCTTGGAGAATATGGTATGGATTTGGGTTTCATTTGGTTGAAGGCAAATGTGAGCTTCTGTGCTGCTCTCTGTTGTTGAATTTCCTATAGAACAACAATAAAAACACAAAAAAACCCTGTTAACACTGAAACTAAGTTCTTATTTGGTTTAACATACTTTAGAAGTGAAAACATGAACCTCAAATAATGTTCCACTGTTTAGCATTCACTAGCACTTACTCTGAGACAGAGATGCAGAACTGTATCTTCTTTATAAATACTTGACCATGTGTTAACCACCTCAGGAAGAAAAGATTTGATAATATAAAGATGACCTGATTTGAGGATATCATGTTCTGACCAGGTACACTGTACTTTGACAGCTCTCCGTAAACCGCCTCCCATCTCCTCTTTACTTAAAAACTCTATTTTGGCACAGAGGCCGAGCTGCGACCATGAAGACATGCTGTTATTCAGTATACTGGGTGAACTCTCTTCCAAGCGATACACTGTGACAGGCTCACCTGCAGGATGAATGGACACATTCTGAGGTCAAATTATGACTCTTAAAATGACAAAGTAGACTAAAAATTAGCAGGTATCTTTTGTTAAGATTAAGTAAGGAACAGAAAATGAATTGGATAAAGTTGTAATTTTATAAAGGAAGTTTCTAAGGGCAGCAAATGCTCAGAAATCAAGAATCTACTAATATCTCTAAATTCATGTGTATTTAGTAATGATAAGCTTTTTTGAAATTATGAACATTTTCAAGAAAAACTTTAAGCAACTGTTCCACAAACCCTGTGATGTCAATTTATCTATGCTTTCTTTACTAGACAATGGGTTAAGACACTTTCTGAATTAGAATACACTATTACTTCTGGATATGCCAGAAATAGAGAAATCTAATACTTCTGATGATTCCTTCTATTTAAAACATACCTGACTCCTGCTAATTAAAATTTATATGAAATTGACACTTAATGTGACCCTTCTTTCTGTCACCACCTATGTTCTATACAATAGTTAAAAATCACAATATTGGGGTGCCTGGGTGGCTTAGTCGTTAAGCGTCTGCCTTTGACTCAGGTCATGATCCCAGGGTCCTAGGATCGAGCTCCACATCAGGCTCTCTGCTCAGAGGGAAGCCTGCTTCTCCCTCTCCCACTCCCCCTGCTTGTGCTCCCTCTCTCGCCGTGTCTCTTTGTCAAATAAATAAATAAAATCTTCAAAAAAAAAAAAATCACAATATTAATAAAAGGTTTATTTCCCCTTCATTTCTTTACTTTTTGGATTTACCTCTTGGAGGCACAGGTGTAAATGGAATGCTCTGGGATAATCTCATCAAATTATTTCTTTCCACAGCTGCACAAAAATGAGAGAAAAATAATGAAATCTCTAAAAGCTCAAAATATTGTTAAGATTTTATTTTAAATAGTACTGACCTGAGTAGTAGTAATTTGTATCCATAACTGGTTTAAATGGGGAAGCGAGACCTAAAATGGCAAATAAACAAATGAAACACTTTTAAAAGTACTAATGTGGCATAAATTTTTGCTTATTCTCATATAATCATCCTAAGTTCCTTCATGTAAGCTCTCTTCACCAAAACAGAAAAAACAAGTAATAAAATATATTCATCATGTGTTTGCTATATTACTCTTTTTCATTATGCCAGATTAGTCCTAACTGTGCACTCAGATACCTGAAAGGGAAAAAAAGTACACATCTGACACTCTCCTGTCATGAACTGTATTCTTCCTATACTCCCATGCTCAAAAAGAAAAATATCTTTTAGTTTTCAACCTTTAGGAGGTGGGGCCTTGTAGCCAAGTAACCATTTTAGTGGACTGACCATAAGAAGATGAACTCTGGAATGTGAAACATACCCAAAAAAAACCCTGCTCCATATTTAAATGTATTTGACGACTTTCACTTTTTAACTATAATAATAAGAATGGCGAATAAATTGAATCTGCTATGTGTTAAGTTTATAGAATATGAATGAAAAAGAACTTATTGTCTTGCAAGAGAAGGAAATCAGTTTTAATACGTGTAGTAAGTATAAAATATACACATGTATACATGATGTATATATGCTAACAGGACTATAGAGGAGGGGTACCAAATGCCTCCTGCTTGAAGAAAGGTTGAAGAATGTCTCAGAAAAGAGAAGGGCGAAAAGAGTGTAGTTTGGAAGGCAGTGGTGTGGTCAGGGCAACATCTGCAAAGGCATGGAATTGTTAAAGTGCATGCTATACTTGAGAAACTGCAAGTTGTTTAGTATGACTAGAACAGCAGTTTTCAATACTAATTTTATATATAAATATTATATATTATATAAATTTATAATAAATACAAATCAGAATCACCTGTGGGGCTTTTTCAATGTGTACCTACCCAGATCTCATTCCAAAATACTCTAATTCTGTAGCTATGTGTCAGCATTAAGTGATTCTCCACAAGAACTTGGATATGCAACCAAGACTGCAAATTAATGAGCGAGGGTACAGGCATGCCTATAGGAGGTAAAGTTACAGAATCAGGGAATGCCAAATTGTTAGGAACCAAATATGCCACGCTAAGAAAGGAATGACAGAGGGGAAAATGTAAAGCAGAAGAGCATCAGTCTGGTGGCAGAACAGTAGACAGAATGGAAGGGAGGCTAACTGGCACAAGTCTAAAAAACCTATGTGGCAATAACTACTAAATGCGAATATACACATACCCTACCACCCAGAAGTCCATTCCTAGGTACATGCCCAACAGAAAATACATGTTTACCAAACAACATGAACAAGAATGCTCATAACAATACTATTCATAATAATCATACAGTGGAAGCTACTGAAATGCCCATCAAATAACAGAATGGATAAACTCAATATATTCACACAAGGAAATACTGTGTAGTAATGAGAATGCACCAACTACCACTATACACAAAAATATTGATGAATCTCATAAACATATGTTAGGAGGAAAAGCCAGACAAAAAGTATATACTTTATGATTCCATATACACAGACAAAACTAATACACTGTGTTATTTAGGGGGAGAGGTTACAACAAGAGGACATGAGGAACTGTTTTGTGATCTGGGTGCTGATTACATTGGTATGAGTTACTCACCTAGTGAGAATTCACTGAGGTGGAGGCTTAGCTCTACTTTTTTTGTATGCATGTTATACACTTCAGTAAAAGGTTTAAAAAATGATGAAGGGGTAAACGGAAAGCAGAAGCAGGATGTACAGTGGACGATGGATTCTAGAGATATTTAAGAGGTAAATACAACAGGACTTTGTGAGTGCAAGGTCAAGGGGGTCAAGAGTAACTCCTTCTTAGGTTTGACCTGACTGAAAGAGTATCATTCACTAAAACAGGGACTATAAAGGAAAGAGCAGGCTAGGTCACAGGGATGAAGGGGGGTGGGGTGACAGTAAAGACATGATATCATTTACATGGTGAGTTCATGTATTTGTGAAGGTGCTATACTGAAGAGAAACTAGCTCAGGGAAGAAATTTTTACTACCTTGGCTCTTTCAAACATGCAGCCTAAAGTTTCTTAGCTAGGATAATGTGGTATTTGCTATAAAAGATCATATGTAATCCTCATTTTTTCACATTAAATCTACCACATGGACTCACCATTTAATGTTCCTTCTTCAGATGGCCTAAAGAAAACCAAAAAATCTAAGTTGTGACACAACTTTTGTTTTGGCTACCACATACTTTTTTATTTTGTAAAGTTATTACGATTATTTAATAGAACACTATTAAAGTAATTCTGAGATTCAGACTCACTTTTGTTTGGATATATGCCATTTCCCTTAGGCCAATGCCAAATGCATACATGGATATGAATGTCAATATACATACACTTTATCAACAACTTGTACCTCCAATTTATGCTTACATAAATATTATCAGTAGTTTGCTGCCAAATTGAAGGTTCTAGTACTAATAAAGTAAAATATTCCATGACTTCTCTATTCATGGAGATTAATTCTTACTATACTTTAAGAATGCCCTGAAATAACTGCAGAATTCTAAAAATACTTCAACAGAATTGATGGGCAAAAAACTGAGAGAACAGGAAATAAATGTCATTTGGCAAAGCTCAATTTATAATGCTGAAAAAATTTTTTCCAATGTCGAACATATTTATTTATAACAACATATATTGGTACCAAGTGGAAGTTCTATTAATTCCATGGATTCCAGTGCAAATCAAGTATAGTAGAAAGGAGAATGCAGTGAGAATCAAACAGAATGGGTTAGAAGCTTAGCTTTCCCATCATACAGCTTTGGGGCCTTGCTCAGGACTAAAAAAAGACCAGATTCAGAAAGGACCTCTCAAGTAGAGAACTTTTGCAGTCTCTTTCTAGCTCTTACCTTCGATCTGATCCTGATGTTTCCTATTGATTTTCACCTTAATATAAATATTTTAGTATAGGAAGTATTTTTGACCCCAGCCTCATCCCTTTGCTGCTAATAAACTACTCTTTCCTCAGTACCCAAAGAGTGCTAACCAACTCCACCTCTCTGGGTATTTCTATGGCTCAACATTCTATGAGACGTTCTTTTGTTAGCTGAGTTAACATCAACTTCAAGTACCTATTCTGTATTTACACCCTATGGTTTTGGTTATAAAAGACAGTATACTCTGAAGAGATCTGACTATAGACTGGTCTTCCGAATGCCATACAGGCCCAGAATATCCAAAGAACTTGAATACTGCAATCCATTTGGCACCTGGTTTATTTTCTTCTCTATATATTCACATATATTTCTGGGGGACAGAAGAAAATAGGGAACACTGTGGAATACATAATAATTTCCTTCTCAAGTAGGAATATCTGAAAGTAACTCTACCATGCTTCCAGTATCAAATGGGCGTCAAAACATGAGGACTTTTTTTTCTAATGTTCTTTAGAATCCTAAAATACTAATTCTCAGGCTGGAAACACATAGTTTATCTTTGATTCTTCTTTATGTTTAATCTGTACTAAAAATTTTTACTTTCTGGGGATGATCACCTGTCAGAATGCCTTTTGTTTCTACTTTTGGTTCTGAATTATCATATCAGCTTTGTAGTGGCTTTCCCTGTATGCAGACTTTCTAATGTATACTGCGTAATTACTGCTCTAATTATCTTTCCAAAAGCAGGTGTGAGGCTTGTTGATTACAATGGGCACAGAAGTTAGCCAAGCGCAAAACTAAAGTGTCAAACTAGACCTTTGAATAAATTTATTCAACAGCAAGCTGGAAATAGGACTAAATAAAATCATAATCATAAGGAAGATTTTAGTAGACAATAATTATAGTATGGCTATAATAATTGTATAACTATATAAAATAACAACTTAAAACGTATACATTAACTCATAAAAAATGAGTTCCCTAATCTCTTCTATGTAAAGACAAGAGGCACAGAATAAATAATCATCATCCATATATAAAGGAGTATTTAAGAAATGGTAAAAAGAACAGGAAAAAGACAACATCCAATAACTATGATACTTTTCAGATTAACGACGAGAAAAGGCTTACTTACATGTCTCTGTTTGATGGTCTATCTTGTAACCAATCCTTTAGTCAAAACAAACACAAACCAAAAGTTAAAAAAATCTCTAGACGAAGCATAACTGTTTAGCCCTATTTTGTTTCATACAGTATGTTTTAAGAACGAAGGGCTGAAAAATTAATGTGAAGTCCTTGTTTCATACAACTGAACAAATAAAATAATAAATGGATATAATTACCTTAAGACCACTCCACAAGGTTAGAATAAAGAATTTCATGATTGTTATTTCCTACAACATAATTACAGTCTAGCTAGTTTCTTTTCTGATGACAATTTTATATTCTTAAATAATATGTGCCCATCATCAAAAGAAAAACACAACAAAGTATAAAGAGTAAAATTAAAATCATGCGCACTGTCAACAAATTACGAAAAACATTTAGGCATATTTCATTGAAGCCCTTTTCTGTATATGTGTGTATTATTTTTATTCTGCAGTTTTTTCCATCTAATTTTAACTATGTAATTACATTCTGATCCAATTTAGTAATTTAGCAGTGCTTGATCTATGTTATTATAACCCCCAATGAGTTTTTTTTTTTTAAAGATTTTATTTATTTATTTGACAGAGAGAGAGACAGCGAGAGCAGGAACACAAGCAGGGGGAGTGGGAGAGGGAGAAGCAGGCTTCCTGCCGAGCAGGGAGCCCGATGTGGGACTCGATCCCAGGACCCTGGGATCATGACCTGAGCCGAAGGCAGACGCTTAACGACTGAGCCACCCAGGCGCCCCCCAATGAGTTTTTATTCTAGATTTTTTTTCTAATTTTCCAGGACTTTTTGAACAGTATCTTTTCTTTTTTTTCCATATTTGTAATACCTTCTCTTTTTGGTTTTAATCACTTTAATCATACTTGTTTTAAATCTGTAACCAATAATTCTATTATCTTAAGTTATCAGAGGCTTAATATTGTTTATGTAACTTGAATCCCAGAAGTTTTGTAATTTGGCATTGTTGGGTCATCTTCAATGGAACTTTATTTATGGCAAAACTATGCTGCTTAGGTTCAGGATGGGTCCTTCCAGAAAGGAGGAACTGCTACTATGAAACTGTGTTCACTAACCCCTTTCCTCATTGAAATAATCTTTTTAATAACGTGATTTTCAATAATACCATCTCCTTATAGCAGAATGGAAGTTAGTATGTTCTTGATGATCCAGGATAAGTAAGAGTAGTGATTTCTGTACTTGACTGACTATAAAGGAGCAATTCTTCTGCTTTTTCCCAAGCTACTTGTCTTGCTTGCCAGAGTATGCTTTTAAAAAGTGTTTGTAAAAATCAAGTATTAACCTTAATTGGCTGGGAATGACTTCATATAATTAATCTCAGTACAGAGATTCCTGCCTGTCTTTTGCACAAACTTTTCTTTAAAATTTTCTAACTACTGCACAGACCATAATCTCTCTGACACACTGGCCGTAGCAACATTTTTCTAGATATATCTCCTGAGGCAAGGGAAATAAAAGCAAAGATAAACTATTGGGACTACATCAAAAAGTTTCTGCACAGCAAAGGAAACAATCAACAAAACTATAAGGCAACCTATGAAATGGGAGAATATATTTGCAAATGACGTAACTAATAAAGGGTTAGTATCCAAAATATATATGGAACTTATACAACTCAATACCCCCAAACAAATAATCCAATCAAAATGGGCAGAAGACATGAACACACATTTCTCCAAAGACATACAGATGGCCAACAGACACATGAAAAGATGCTCAACATCACTCATCACCAGGGAAATGCAAATCAAAACTACAATGAGGTATTACCTCACATCTGTCAGCATGGCCAAAAATCAAAAACTTAAGAAACAAGTGTTGGCAAAAATGTGGAGAAAAAAGAACTCTCTTGCACTGCTGGTGGGAATGTAAACTGACACAGACACTGTGGAAGACAGTATGGAGGTTCCTCAGAAAGTTAAAAACAGAACTACCCTGTCATGTAGTAACTGCACTACTGGATATTTAGCCAAAAATACAAAACACTAATTCAAGGAATATATGCACTCCTATGTTTACTGCAGCATTATTTATAATACCCAAACAATGGAAGCTACCCAGTGTCCAGTGATAGATGAATAGATAAAGAAGATATGATATATATATATAACGGAATATTATTTAGCCATAAAAAAGAATAAAACCTTGCCACTTGCAACAACATGGATAGAGCTACACAGTATAATACTAAGTGACATAAGTTACAGAAAGACACATACCATATGATTACTCATATGTGGAATTAAGAAACAAAATGAGCAAAGGAAAAAAACAAAAACAAAAACAGAGAGAGACAAACCAAGACTTTTAACTATAGAGAATAACTGATGGTTTGGGAAGACGGAAGATGGTTTGGGATAAATAGGGGTGGGGATTAAAGACTACATTTATCATGATGAAAAACATAAAATTATAAAAAAAAAATACACACATATATACCTAAATAAATATGTATTTTAAAATACGCATTTGTTTAATTGAAATGTACAAACCGGTAGTAAAGCTGCTTTGGAATCTACTTCATGAGTTTCTTCTGTAGATGGCCTTCTACTGCTACTTTCCACTTAAAGAAAAATTTAAAACATAAGTGATACAACAAAAAATTTTTTTTGCTATCAACTAACCAAACACAAAGTGTTTCTATACATAGTGTAAACTTCCATAAGGTAATTTATCCTCTCCCCAACACTGCTGAAGATAAGAGTTACATAAGGCCCAGAGGTCTCTTGACAAATAAATTATTCAATTTATTTTTGTAAAAAGGCAGTAAGAAATAAAAGAATATGAAGGAAAAAGTCTTACTCTTCCTATTCCCAAATTTCTTATATATCCTACCATGAATATATATGATAGGATAATATATATTACATATTTGGGGGGGGGTTTTGTTGTTAAATTTTTAAACTTTAAGCTTGGAGATCTTTCCATTATCGGTACACAGAAAACGTCTCTATTCTATTTTGATGCTATATTGAACTTCGTACTATGGGTATACAATAACTGTACAGAATAATAACCAAACTCCTACAGATGGACATTTGGTATGATTTCAATCTCCTGCCATTACAACATTGCAATTAATAATCTTAAACATTTTTTTTTTTAGATTTTATTTATTTATTTGACAGAGAGAGAGAGAGAGCACAAGTAGGCAGACAGGCAGGCAGAGGGAGAGGGAGAAGCAGGCTCCCTGCTGAGCACAGAGCCCGATGTGGGGCTCGATCCCAGGACTCTGGGATCATGACCTGAGCTGAAGGCAGATGCTTAACCATCTGAGCCACCCAGGCGTCCCCTGCAATTAATAATCTTATACATACATCATTTTAACAGTAATGGAAAAAATAGTTCATCTTTCCTCCTGTGATTTAAGATGCCATCTTTATCATATCTCGGTTTTTTTCATCCTAAATAAATTGTAGAATTAAGCCTATTTTAAAAAGTCAGGATGTTAAATTCTAAAGTAACTTAGAATTCACATTTATGATACAATAAAGAAAAACCTCAGAATGAATGGTGATGTAGAATCTAGAACAAAATTTGTATTCCAAGTGTAGAGGCCAAAACGCCAGATAGAAGTACATTAAAAGAGTCTGGGCAAAACTTTTTCAAAATAATGAAACTGAGAGAATGCATTATGTATCCGAGTATCTTGAAAAAATGTAGTTAAATAGCAGAGAATCTAGTGTTGATCTAGCCAAAATTATAACTGGACTATATTGGTGGGAAAGAGTAAATGTGTGTGTAGTATGTGCACATGTGTGCACATGTGATATGTGTGTGTGTGTGCCCGCGCACACATGTTTGGGGAACAGAGAGAGGGAAGGGAAGAGTTCAATGAGTTCAATCCTTGCCTTCTTTAATGGAAGGTCAATACTGAAATATGAGGATGTCTAAAACTGAAATATGAGGATGCAAAAGTAGAAGCATGCTAACTTTAGAAATAACATCCATGTTACTGAAAATGAGTTTTATTTCTTCCCTCCTAATCTTTCTACCATTTCTTTCTTACTTTTATTTTTCCGGCTAGAATGTTACATAGAAATGATAACAGCCAGAATCCCTGCCTTGATTCTCCATCTGGTTTTCAATATATCATTATGAAATATACTTGTGGTAACTTTTTGCAGATACCCTTAATTCAGATTAAGGAAACTTCATTCTAACTTTGCTAGGAGTTTTAATCATGAATGGATGCAGAATTTCATCAAATGCCTTTTCTGCAGCTACTGAAATGATCAAATGATTTTTCTCCTCTAATCTGTTACTATCCTGCATCAATTATACATACATGTTATATATATATACATATTTTTTTTTTTAAGTGCGCTCTACACCCAACATGGGGCTTGAACTCACAACCCCAAGATCAAGAGTCATATGCTCTAATGACTGAGCCAGCCAGGCACCCCTTATCAATTTTATTTTTTATGTTAATGTTAAACCAACTTGCACTCCTGGAATATATCCAAATTGATACTGTTCTATACCAAAAGAGAATGAAAGGGGAAATGATGGTCCACATGGTCGTGATGTTTTTCTTAAGGAACCTTATAAAGGTTATATGCACACTAATGAATAGCTGAATAATAATAAATTTGTACGCATATGTAACTTTGACTCGTAAAAAAGCATGATATGAAAACATCCCCAGGCCTTTTAATTCTCCAGTGAAAAATTAAAAGTGTAGAACATGTAGGTAGGTTACTTTCTGTGTAAAAATGAGAGGAAGAAAAGACTACTGACATATACGATGTGAAACTCTAGAGGATAAACAAAAATAAGTGGTTACATGTGGGGCTGGAATGAGAGAGAGACTTATTTTCAAACTGCTTGTATGTGTTTGTATTTCAATTCTGAACCAAATAGAAGTATTAGCTATTTTTAAAAGTTAAATTAGAAAAATATGTTGACTAAATGACTATATAGATTCAAACACAGATTTACTTGTAAAAGTTAAAATCAGCGGATTCGTAAAAATCAAGGCTTTATATTTGGTATTTAGATACTAAACAATTTGTTAAAAAAAAAAAAATTAGGATTATGTGTTTTATTCAAGCTTAAAGCAACAATGATGGACCAGAATCGTCATTTTCCGACTCTTAAAACATTCACTGTTCAGGTGTGTGGCATACATAAAATACTTTTAAAGCTTGAATAATCATGTTTGGTAACATAATTCACGTAGTCAAAAATTACCTTGTTCTGAATGAAGAGGAACAGAAGTTTTGCGACATTCAGTAAATCCAGCATGAGAACTCAAATGTTTCCAAGTGTTTTCAGAAGGAACATCATTCTGCATATTGTACAAATACACAATTTAAAAACAATTAAACTAAATTTCAAATAATTGTTCTACGTAGTATAAAAGTCTTTGTATCTATTTAGTTCAATATGCTTTAATCTACCTGGACACCAAAAGAGTACACTACAGGTTATAAATTTTCTTCAATGACAATCTAAAAAAACTGCATCAAAATATCCTACTTGCTTGTTCATAAATCCATTGTTCACAACTCAATCTGAATGAATCCTTTTTCATAGTGATACAACTTTATAAAAATTGGGGGAAAATATGAAAAACTGTAGGGAAAATAATAAAACATTTTTCACCTAAAAAACAAAAAGCTATTTTATACTAACACTGACGGATTGTTAACAGTTTGGAGGGTAGAGAAGTGGTTTTTATGGGGAAGAAGGGATATCTGGGTAGCTTTCTTACTGATTATATAAGCTGTTTGTATAACAAAGTCTAGTTCTCCCTTCCTTTCTTCTTTTTATCTAAACATTTTCCCAGATGATCTAACAAACTGCATTAAACTAATGTGGGGACAATCCAGTACATTCACATTATTTTCTCTTTTCAAACATAAACAGGTCACACACTATTACGCAACTTTAAAATATTCCCAAACCTCTACCACCTCTCAGAAACAATGAGTTTTAAACTGCTACTACAATAAGCTATTACTTTTATTAAGTAAATTTAGTTTATATCTCAAGAAAATGAAGCTTTTCTACCTTTGATGCTCTGCACTCTTCATATACAGCTGATTGATATACCCAAGTGAGAGTGCTAACCTTTTATCTGTAGTCACAATGCAACTCCAATTTCCTTTCTGATTTTTCTTTTAGAACCAGTTTTAGCTATTTCTTATTTGTTTTATTTAAGTGCTTTCCTTGATATATACTCTTTGATGCAATGACACAGTAGTTTTATTAGAACCATCTACGACAGAAATTCCAGTGCAGGATTGATGATGGGCTTCAAGGTATTTGTAAAACTCCACATACCTTAATAGATAAAATTTTGTATATGTGCATTTTTCTGGGAAGTTCTTTTTCTCCAAGTGAATTACTCAAAACTGTTTAATTCAAAACACAGCCACCAGTTTTCTGCCTACTCACAGAAACTTGTAATTTCTTCTTACTTTTACCAGGAAGTTACCTGCCCACTTGAAAATTTTTAGCATAGTCCTGGCTTTAAGTTCATTTAATAGGTTCATTTTTAAAAGGCAAAACCTGTGGGGAAACCTTGACGTATACCCTTTCCCATTAAGGAATGTCCATTTATCCTAAATGACTTCCTATGTACATCAAGTGCTTCACTATAGCAAAATGATGCCACAAGAATGTGCTGATACAATTCTTTAAACTGCCATTGTGACACTTGTAGAGACATTTTAAAAGTTCAATGAAATACATATTAGAAAATGACAGCCTAAGTCAGGGTAACTGTAATTGTTACTGAGGACTCAGAGAAGCAGAGATACTAAAAAAATATTTAAGAAGCAAAATGAGTTAGACTTGGTTGTTAAATGGGTGAGAGAAGTAGGAGTGCAGTTTTGCCCTGGTAAACTAGAATGCTGATGTTATTAACAGAGGCTGGAAATACAGAAGGAGAAATAGGTCTGCTGAGCAAGAAGATGATGGTGAATTTGAGGTTCTAACTTGAGTTTGACAACTCTAAGATTTCCAATTAGTTAGCAGTTCTAATCTTTTACTGTAGTGTCAAGCCAATCCTCTGAAGTCAGAATCACTCCAAAGATTTACTTTCCCCATATCCACTCCCAGCCTTCAGTTTTCCTGGCTAAAATTCAAATGCTGATATGGCTAGTAAAAAATTCATGCTATTTCAACTCTACAGGTGAGAAATCATATTCTTGGTTTTCTCTTGACTCCTTAATAACTTCACACAATGGTTACCTTAAACCTTCTCTTTCTCATGTACTCCACCATGCTTTCCACCAGCCTTACTAGAAAAACAAATGCCTTAAGAGTATGAACTCCCCAGATTATTTTTTATCCCCTTTAATTTTAAAACTGTTTTGCATAATTTATATACAACGAAACACACAGATTCTTAAATGGTAAGTTAGAGAAGAGTTTTAGCATTCTTTCTTTCCAACTCAAAATATCTGTGCGACAATTTCTTTTGTCACTCTTCCTATCTGCAAAAAGCTATACTTTTTATCCTTATCATCTAAATGCTCAATTTCACTCCATCTATGTCTTCTTGCTTTTTAAATTATAATTCCCAGTCAGCTCTCCCTCCTTGTAAGAAACTCAAAGATAAAACAAGACATACAACCTAAAAAAAAAAAGGTTTCCCTACTGGTTCCTTTCCCTCATATTAAGACTATCATTATGGGTATTTACAAGAGCAACAGTTAAGAAATACTTTTCATTCATTGTTCTATACATTTAAAAATTTATTTAACAAACATTTATTGAGTATCTTACACCTGCACATTATATTGTAGTTACTGGCATATTCAGCTTTTTACTGCTTGGCTACAGGTTCCTTGACAGACAGGGTTATGTTCTAATAAACTTTTGGGCCTGGGAAAGAGTTCAGCTCAGTATTTAGTCAAGGGGAAATGTATAGGGAGAAACATTTTTAAAAAGAGAAATGTTAAATAGGTGTTTTTTTTTATTTTCATCATTTAAAAAAATGCAAGCTAACTGCAGATTTTTTTCATATATATTTGTCTAAGGATTTTCTTTATTTATTTGAGAGAGAGAGAGAGAGCAAGGTGGTGGGCACAAAGGGAGAGTGAGAGGGAGAAGCCGACTCCCTGCTGAGCAGAGAGCCCGATGTGGGACTCAATCCCAGGACCCAGGGATCATGACCTGAGCTGAAGGCAGATGCTTAAACTGAGCCACCCAGGCGCCCTGTTTCTTCTTTTTAAATGGTGTATAGCTTTAAATATTTGGGATAATCATGTTGATGATGGTCTCTGCTAAAACTGATTTTTATTGAAATGTTTAATTCTATTTTGAACTAAACCCCCAAATAGCAAAATAAGATTGAATTGTGCTGTTACAAGGATTTACTTACGGATATTATTTCTTTTATTTTGTTTGATGTTTCTTTAAACTTCTGCAAATAATCTATGCTATCTCTGTGTCCTTAAAGAGAAAAAATTATAACAAAAAATATTTATTTTTTATCAAAATAATGTCATTGCCTAAAGTCTACATAAACAAGTGATTTATGTTGTTTTTAAAGTAGTTTTGATGGCTCTGAAGTTTCCTGTAGATCTTTTGATATATACAAAAAAATCTGTCAAGAAGCTAGAGAAGATTAATAGTTCGTTTTACAGTAACAGCGAAAGCCAAAGGCCTCCTCAAAGAATCCAACATGTGATATGAATTGCTTGAAATTTAAAAAGAAAAAAGGGAAGCAATTACTTTTACTATTCATAAAATATAAAATTACATATGTAACACATATATAATATATCCACTACACACACACGAACACACAAATCATATGCAGAGATAAATATGTAGGTATCTATACATATCCATCCCAGTGGCAATATACTAACATACAGACTAAAATGTACTTTTAAAAAATAAACTGGGATAGATTTTATGCAGGAAAAGTTGTCTCTATAAATCCACAGTGACCTGCACATAGCCTAGCAGTAGAGATCATATACGCAGTACCTAGATAACTTACAGGGTTGGCCTCAATGTGGAGATTACATGGACATAACCATATTCTCTGGCAATCTCCATATATGTTCCATGACTAGGTAAATTTCTAAGCTGGGAAGGCTCAAACAAGTTCTAAGACAAAGGTTAGGAAGCCACCTGATGGAAAAATTCAAACCTGAAGAGACAGAGGCCCTCAGAACACTCTGGTCATGCCCACAAACAACCCAAGTTGTTTTCTAAGAACTCTTTGTTAAATACTTTAATCTTTACTAATATAACAGGAAGACTGTTAGAACACTATATTCTCCCAAATACTAGAGACCTAGCTAGCTCTATGAAGTATTCTCTCTTCACCTTTTCCTTCCATATGGCACACTGTCAACATTAAAATATGCTTAGGTCTCCCCCATCATTAAAAACAAAACAAATAAAAAACCTTAGCTACAAACCACAGTATAAGTTATTTCTTTCTTTTTACCTTCATAGTGACCTTTATAGTTGCCCCCCAAGTCCTACTCTTTACATTCCCTCCTCCCATTCACACTTTATTTTGATATAATCTGGGTTCTCCCTCAACCACTTCACTGAAGCAGATTCCACCAAGGCCATTAATTTGTTATCATTGCTAAAATAAATATATTTTCAGTCCTTATTTTACTTTAGCTATCTGAAGTATAAGAATGAATCATTCCTTTCTGAAATGCTCTCCTCTGGGTATAGTGAGTCCTGGCTTTCCCTGTTAGCCTAATTGTAATTATTAGTGTACCCTTTCACTATCAAAAGGGTACTGGTTGAGATGAAAAATTATATGGTCACACAATTTAGAAGACACTGCTCTTTTCCAGTTTTTTCTATCTAGCCTCCCCTGTACCTTTCTATTATTCACCAAGTATCTAGTATTTATGAATCACTCAGGTTCTTTCAACAAGTTAACCAAATTCAATAGAAGATTCTCAAAATCAAAAGGAAGAGCCCAAATAAGTTTTATATACAAACTTATTATAGTAAATTCACCAAAGAGGTATGTGCCAATAGAACTATTATAGCTCAATTCAACCTATTTCCCCCACTCGAATCCTTTAAAAAATTTTAGAACTATATTCTATGAAACGAAGCCCACTTATCACATAAGTGAATGATTTTATTAGTTATTTATTTCTAAGATGATAATTTAATAAAAAAATTATACTGATATACAAATATTACTTTGCCAAACTTACCTACAAATGCTCCAAATTCTACATTATCTCCTTCTGCAGCTTTAGAGCAAACAATTTCTTGATCTTTGGTTACAGTTTCTAAGCGGTTTTTACAACTTGGCTGTGAAGGTGTACTAACAAAAAATTTGGTTGGTGGGGATGACAGGTGTGGTATGCTATTAGAAGAACTGCCTAGTTTTTTATTTTTACTGAACATTTTTAACATTTCTGCCCCATGTACTCTCTGTCGCAGTTCTGGAGGAGAAACAGCACTTGGGAATAAGGCACCACAAGAGGAACCAGCCTCTGGGAAACTGAATTCTTTTCTCTGGGGTATTACAGGTAAATCCTGACCAAATATGTTACACTGGGGATCTTTTTCATCTTTCATAAAAATATTACAAAGAAAAGGATTAGTACTTTCAAGACCACCTTGAGGAAGAGAGGAGCTAAGTGTATTTACAACACTGTGCTTTTTCCATACAGAAGGTCTTACAGGACCATCGTCAATAAGGTTTTGAGCCAAATGTTTGGAAATGCTCAATTCTCGTGTGATTTCATTGTGAACTTTGCTAGCTTCCGAAGCTTTCTGGGCAGTGAGCGTTTTTAATGTATCTACAGTCAGGGCTGAAAGATCTTGCAAATGGCCAATTTGAGAATCTAATGACTGTAATGATCTTTTTATATAGTTGACGCGATCTCCAACTTCTTTAATTTGAATGCACATCTGCTCCACCCTGTATGGAAAACACAGGCTTTTTAAAAATGTTAAAAATTAATGTTTTAGAGATTCTTTTTGTAATCTCAATAAATGACAATGGTAAAAAAGAAATTTTACATGCACTCAAACAAGCTAAGCTATAAAATAAAATGATTATTTATTTATAAAAGACACACCTAATGTTTAAGAAGGGTCCGGTGCTGATTCTATTATAATAAAAATCAAGATTTCAAAAAACGTTTTTATTATTACAATTTCCCCTCATCAAAGTAACACACACAAAAATGTATATAAAGCTACATATACAGAGAACTACCATTACCATTATTATAACTATACTATCTGCTTCCAGAATGTAGCAAAGCCATTAGAGAAAAACAAAAACAAAAACAATGCTTTAAAATATAGTTTCACTTCTCTCCACTGACTGGTAAAGAACATTAATTCTTCTGTCCTCTGTAACAAATGTTAAAAAATAATAAGAAACTGACTTAGTGACTTAACACTAAATATTAGAACTGAAATGACTTCCGATATATAAAACTATTACTAAGCTTACTTATTTTGACAATCATAAATTGAACAATGACCATGTATAAGACATAAGAGAATCCAGTGTGACATATAATCAATTATAATTAAAGAAATTCTGAACCTTTCAAAGGTGACACGAATTCTCTCTTCACTCCCAGAATGGAATTTGTCATCTTTTTCATTAAAATACATCTCAACACACTGTTCTTCAAAGTCATGTAGTTTCTTTTGATCTTCTTCTGTTAAAAAAAGTTCTAAAGAGGGAAAAGAAAAAAAAAATCAATGAAGACTATCAAGATATCAAATTATAGCTCAGGCGTCTTATGAATTATTTAGGGTTCATACGACTATATCCATCATCTGTAATTTTTTTCTCTTTTTACTGTAGTGTTTCTAAAGCACTGGACAAGTATTTCCATTTTTTTTCCTCAGGAGAACAGTTTTAGGTACCTGTTCCTCTTCTAATTTCCTTTTCCTATAGGACACTCTTCCCCTGTAACTCTCTTTATACCTCTCCCTCATTTATCCAGGTAGAGGAATTTAAGAACCAATTTGGTAGAACAGAAAGCCACTGTAAAATTTTAAGCACAGTTTGATATGATGATTAATCTCATGTAGTATACAGAATAAACGAAAAGTGTTGTTTACAGAGCAGTAAAATGGTTTGTAGAACAGAAAATGTCACGGTTTACATTACCATTTTAACAAAAACAAACTGACATGCCATATTCAAAAAGAACTTTCATACTAAATTCACTTTTACAGATACCATATTATACTTAAAATTCCTTTATGTTCAGGCAAATTCAACAAAAGCTTTTTATAGTAACATTAACCAATTACGTCTTCTGAGTAAAATTAATACTTAACCTTCAGGGTAATACTGATAAGTGATAAAATAAAAACATTTCCCTTAATATATTTTACTTACTTGGTCCATCGGAAGTCTTATCTTTTTTTCTTCTTTTACATATGCAGCAAAACAGAGAAACTATATGGCCAAGAATGATAAGTGGTGGAGGCAGAACAGGTTTCTCATGATAAGCCATAATAAAATGATATCGTTGGTACTTCCATACAATATTGGAAATTGCCTTCACTTGTAAATACACATTGCTTGAGTAACAATAAAAATAAAACACAGCTAAATCACATGATAAAGTTTTAAATACTAAAGATTTTACTGCAATTCCGTTCTAAACAAGAATTCAAAAGACTACTCTACTATACACAAGACTAAAAAGGCAAATGAGAAACTGGAAAAAATACATGCAGTAAGTATAAGGCACAAGTTTGGTATCGTTGAGGGTCTTAATTACAAACTCCCAGAAAAATGAGCAGAAAATATCTTAAGATTTTAAAGTTACATATAAATAACAAAACTTTAAGAAAATATTCAATCTTAGTAGCAACAAAATAAGTGCATATAAAAACAAGATACTTTTATGTACTATCAAATTAGCGACCATTTGAAGATAACAATACCTAGTGTTGGCAGAGATGTGGGGATACAGGCCTACTTTAGCTTAAACGCATGAAGTCCTTAAAATGCATATACTGAACAGTTCTACTTCTAGGAAAACAATCTAAGGACATAATTAAGGAATGATCAAAAATTTAACCATAACATGGTTTTTGGGAACAAAAAAATTATAAACAATCTAATTGAACAATGTAATATATTGGTTGAAAAATTAAGGTCTATATCATGGAATACCAGGTAGGCATTAAAAAATAAACCGGAGAGAGATATTTATTAATGTGGAATAATATTCATGTTTTGCTTAGTTTAAAACAGTATACAAAATATAAGAACGTTATTTTTGAAGAGAAAAAATGGTTCATATATATTCATAATAAACAACAGAAAGATGTACACCAAAATTAATGAGACTATAGATGAATTTTCTACTTGCCTTTCTGTTTTATATACTGAACATGTGTATTCCTTGGCAACTTAGTAAAAATCCCAAATAAAGGTTAAATTTATAAAAGAACTGCATGTTGAAATATAATTAAGTCTCAAACTTAAAGTCTCATTTGATTTGAAAATGTATGCCTTCTTATTTGTAATTTTCAAAGATAATTTTAGTAGCTTAAGCTTCAATAAAATCTTTAGATTGGAAATTTTGTGTATTTCCTTCAAAATGAGATTTTTATGTTAAAATCTCATTAAGCAACTGAATAAAATTCTTACTTGAAAAATGCAATAAGAAGATTGACCATAATGATATACTGTACAAAGAGGTAGACTGCTTGAAGAAATGGAGTCAACCATGTTCCAGGACCACAGATTTGAGAGATAGTGGAATCATTTGCACACACTTTGAAAAGAAGAACAAAAATTAGATATAGTAATCACACCAGTAACCTTTTAAATTTAAATTTTAGTTAAATTACAGTGCAATTGGTTTCTACACCAGTTAACTATTTTTCATTAGTATTTGTCTGTTTGAAGGACGTTTCAATTATGTACAAATCTGTTTCAGACTCTTTAAAAAAGCTTCTGGGCAAGCACTTGGAATAAAACTTAAAAATACTCCAACACAGAAAAATTTTGGGGGTGCCTGGGTGGCTCAGTCAGTTAAGCGGCTGAGGTCATGATCCCAGAGTCCTGGGATCGAGCCCCGCATCGGGCTCCCTGCTCAGCGGAAAGTCTGCTTCTCCCTCTCCCACTCCCCCTGCTTGTGTTCCCTCTCTCGCTGTCTGTCTCTGTCAAATAAATAAATAAATAAAGTAAAGTATGGTAGGGGCGCCTGGGTGGCTCAGTCGGTTAAGCATCTGCCTTCGGCTCAGGTCATGATCCCAGGGTCCTGGAATCGAGCCCCACGTTGGGCTCCCTGCTCAGTGGAGCCTACTTCTCCCTCTCCCTCTGCCACTCTCCCTGCTTGTGCTCTCTCTCTCCAAATAAATAATCTTAAAAAAAAAAAAAAGTACGGTAAACTCACAGTAAATTTACAAATATAAAAATTACTGAGTTTATCTTATGTCACCAGAGGGTTGAAAGAGTGGTTAAAGTGCCTCTCAAATATACAATGATTAGGTCTGAATTCCTTGCTTTTCATTAACCCCACCAGGAATGTTTCTGAAGCCAAAACACAGCTGAACCAAAAAAAAGGAAGAGAAGAGCTTTAGTACCCACCAGAGTATTAAAGAATTAAGCAAAACAATTTAAATAGGGAAAGGATTAGAATTAAATAATCATGAATTAGTGATAAGTTTTATGTAAATGCTTACAATACAATTAGCATTTCTTTAGTAATCGTTTAAAAACATATACACCATTAAAACACTCAATGGCTATATCATTCCTTTCAAATAAATTGTTTCATAGGCAAATGAATGCACAAGGTTCTTTCAATCTTAAAAAGCTTTATCAATTTCCATTCTATTCAGATTTGTTTGATGTAGCAAATACCCAAGGAAGAGAATGAGGAAGACTAAAAAGCTATATCCAGTGCTTTGTAACAACTAAACTAGAGCCACAATGGAAAAAGAGCAGAAAATGAAAACCTGAAAATGGCACCGAACAGGAAAGCATTGAACACAAAGTTTGACGAGGCTGGTAAAACCTCACTGTTTTAAGCAACATCTGAAAACAAAGACCAGTATGTAGCCATCCCCTGACCTAATCACCTATAAATAGGTGGGTAGGGAGCAACACAGGTGTGGGGTGAGGGAAGAGTAAAGACAGGAGAGAAACTGCAAAAGAGATGAAGAGCAAACTAATCAAATAAAGATTCTAAAATGCAAATGTGGACGTCAGTAGAAGAACATCCCCGAAAGTCAGCAGCATCACCTATGTTCCCAAGTTATTTAGCCTCATTAGCTAAAACAATTAAAAAAAAATTACCTTACACACAAAACGCGTTCACAGTTGAATTTTGTTAATTCAAGAGTTTATCCAACCTACCATGATTGATCTAATCAATGTAATCCTATTACCCTTGCCCCAACTGTTTCAGACATAAAGGCTGAAGCCAATTTGAGCTAATGAGATTTAAAGGAACAGGTTCAATAGGAGGCTTTTGGGGAAAAGGACTTTTCACCCTTAAGAGAACCATGGAAAACCCTGTCTCTTTTCCTCCCATTGCTAGTGACAGTCTTCTAATCATAAGGGAAAACTGTATCAATCACACACTGATTACAAAGCAGTGGAATGAAAAAGAACAGGTGTCCTTAACTATGAATTAACAAACTGCAAAGACCACTCTACCTCTAACTCTGTGTTACATGAGCTAATAAATATCTTTATTGTATAAGCCGGGTTAGGCCAAATTTCCATTTGTGGCCGAAAAAATTCTAAAATACTTTTTTTGATTAATTTTTATAGGTTTTTTTCTGGGCTTATTAACGAATGTATTTTGGGAGGGCTTAGGTTGGTAATAATAGTTTGACTTGTGAAAATATGTAATACTACTGTAATGCAAGTCTGACTTCAAAACAAAATAACCAAAAGATGAATTTGTAAACATAAACACTTACCATCAATTTCATATGCGTAAACTTCACCAAAAATCATCCAGTATGGATGAAAAACTATATCTTTAGCAAGAGTCCAAGACGGTGCTTCACGAGGATAAAGTATTGCCTTTCTGGGAACACCAAAACTAAGTAATACAAGAGCCATAATCACTACAATGTAGAACATATTGGCTACCTGTTAAAAAATGAACACTGTTAAAATACATGGGAATTTAAAAACAATGACAATTTTTTCATCTTAAAATAGTTCTAATGTTCTAATAAATAACTAGAATCTCTTGAGTTTCCTTTTACTCCTAGTATTAGCATTCAGGAAAATCTCATCACTACATAAACCTTAACATCAAGGAGATTACATAAAAATTGATCTGTGAGGCTAGATAGGTCAGGGGCACATTTTTTTTTTTTAGTCTCCAAAAGTAAATAACTTCATTATAATTACAACACCAATTCAACAAATATTAGGAAAACAAAAAGATCACATATAACTAAAATATCAAATACAAAGCAAATAAAAACTTTGTACATGTAAACAGCAATTATCAAAGAAAAAAATAATCTAGTACAAACTGCCAAATGTGATTTGAAACATCCAATGCAATTTTTGTCCCCTTAAGATAGAACATCAGTAATAAGACTTTCCCTTTGTAAATCTGGGTGCCCAGTTTTTAGAATATTGGATATGAAATATCTTTCTCCATCTCTTTGGTATGATAATAAATCAATAGCAATCAATATTAAAAGGGGCACATTCTATGTAATGAACCATATCACTGGTTCCAACTGCAGTCAGCCTATCTTGAGTCCATGAAGATTTAAAGAGGTATAGACACATGGGCAGATTCAGGGAATCAATTTCTGTTATGTGCTCTTTCCTAAAACTGTTGTGTTGTTGTATTGGAGGTTCAGACTCACTTTTCTACCTCCCTTTGATAACTGTCCTTTGCCCACTTCATACACAAAAAGTCATTCTTCTCATCCATCTTGAACCCTAAACTCTATACCACGGTCCCTTATCCTGGACTGTGAAAACCTCTAGGAGCTAAATAAAACAAACTGGAATTATCAGCATGGGTGTTGAAAAAATAACTGACACCAATTAACTGGTTAAAAATTCCTTTTACAAATCAGGTAGTCTGCAATTCTTTAATTTCAACAAAGGTGAAAAAATCCTAATTGGGCTATCACCTAATAAATCAATGAAAAATAATTTTTATTAAGTCACAATGTGAATTTTGAAATCATTAAGAAAACTAAGAGTGAAGTAAAATCCTATAACAGAATTTTAATTTCTATCCACTTAATTAGGGGTACGAATGCTCAGCATTTATACTTAAAAAAGTGAATGTTGTCTCACTCCAACAATGTAGTATTCATCCACAAATAATGTACTAGTGGAAAACCCACGCAGATCAAGGTAGACTACATTTACAATAAATCTGTACTTTACCAACAACTGCAATAAACCAACCTAAAAAATCAGTAATTGCAATAAAATAACCTAAAAAAATTATACATTTGCATGTATTTTTCAAATGAATATATAGTGAGAGTAAAAATGGAAGGCAGGAATGTGAAAGCTAAAGAGGACAGTAAGTCTGGGTTTTTTTATTTTTTAAATTTCAAAATATTGATTTATATGTAATAATTTAGACTTGATCCTTCATCTTTAAAATTCTTACACATCTGCCAATAAATTTCCTTTTTAAATTAGAGTTGAGTCTCTGTGACTTGCAATCGAAGAGTCCTAATACTCTCCAAGATTGTTCTCTTACTTGTAAAACAGTCAAATAATGCCTTGAGGGTTTAACATACACACTAAGAGAATGTATATTTTCAATAACAAGATTTTCAACAAAATCTTGGGATAAAAGATTTTAAAAGGCATATCATCAATACATTATTCATGACATTTGAAATATTATAGAATCCAAATATCTATCTGTAATTAAAGAAAAAGGCCAAGTCAAAAATTCAAAACCATACTCAAATTTGTACTGAGGTATCTTAAAATTATTCAGTCTATGACTAATGATTCATAGAGGCCTCTGGATTTCATACCTTTCACATAAAGCCTATTTGACAACCTTCCCTATAGCTGATCTAAATTTAATTAATTAAAAATATTTAAATATCCCATTTTCACATATCTAAAATGAGGATTTCTAGCTTGAATGTACAGATACATGGAGCGAATGGGAAAAGGTTAGCATTTACCATGCAATTTTCATAAGTGTGATCTTTATTAATGATATCAACTGTGAGGAGTATTTCTTCTATTTTCATCTTTTGTATGTTCAAACTTTTCAAAGCTTTTTTCTCTGATTAGAAATTCCCTGCTCAGGAAAATTCCTATTTGCCAAACTTTCAAATACCATATTTTTTGTGAAAGCCTTTATGACAGAATTAGGTACTATCTCATCAGTCTTCACACAAGTTTATCTTTCTGTAGCTATCTATCTGTTCACATGCTTGTCTTATGTACTAAATTGTGAGTTCTATGAGGCTCTGGACCATGTTTTATTATCTTTGTAGTTTCAGGTTAGTATAGTGCACAGCTTATAATAGATACACAATGATAAAAGAAACAATGTTAAGTTACTCTAGGAACCTACTACCATAAAATTCATCTCCTTTATTCATTATTTAAAGGTATACTTTAATGAAGGATTTCTTACACTCCGCAGCACCTAGTTTAAACAGATAATTAGAATATCAACCATTTTGAAAGTTCTAAAGGGGGTAGAAAGGGAAAACGGCACTAGGAGAAACAGACAATGATGTGATAAATGACTGGTTGAAGAGGGGAAAGACATAAATACTCCTGGTGGAGGGTAGTTCTAAAAATCACAGATAAAGAAGAAAATGAAATATATATTCAAGCTCCTCAGAACTTGGATGGGAGAACTGGCAGGAGTGCTGCGAGCATGTGAGAGGCAAGATTCAGATGAAAATCCAGTCAGCTTCTATTTCTTTCTCTTGGCTTCCCCCTATTTTTCTGATTTCCATCTTTTATTATTATGGCTGTTCACTTCTGTATTTCCTATACCTCTAATTTACTGTATACTACCATTACATTAACCTGATACCACTAAGTCAGTAAGGGTAGGCAATGAGAGCTGGAGCACCTTCTTGCATGCTAAAATTTTAGGCTAAAACCAATTCTTCCCTACAAGCCTTAAATCCCCTAACTTTTCCTGGAAACACTACTTTATGAAAGAATACAAAATGGATGAATAGTGAATACTTATACTTCTTTGATATGACAAACAGTAAACCAGTAATTCTCAACTGGTGAAATAGAGGACACATTCTCCTGGAGGGGAATGTGTAGTCTCAAAAAGCAAATAATTAAACTTTATATTTAGAAAACTTTAAAAAAATCTTATTTTCATAATGCTCATAATCCTATGAGCTAGTGGGATTATTTAGAAGGTAAATTTAATTTAGAAGAGAAAGATTTTCCACAATTAAGGAAAAGGGTTTCAGAAACTCTAGGGATAGATTTTTATATTTATTAAAAGGGGGCAGATCTTTAAAAAGAATTGAGAAACAGCACATAGAATCAGCCTACTTTGGTAAAGCTATTATATACATTTATTTGTGTGGAGTTTAACACACAAGCACGTATTCCTGTATGTCTTGAAGGATGGAAAAAGTATACACCACACTGTTAACAGTGGATGTCTCTGGACAGTAGTTTGTATTTACTAAAATTTTCTACAATGAATAATTATTTTAGAATAAGAAAGGAAAAGTTACTTTTACAAAACAATAGTATAATAGTGTTTGCCTTTTTGACCACTGGAAACTGAAAGCAGTTTATGGCAGAAGTAGGACAACACACTTTAGATTTTTCAGTTCAATGCATAAGGAATTGCACATTAAACCTGACATCTACATTTAAAAAAGAAAACCTGCCAGTTGGTTAAACCTGTAGGAAAGAGCAAGATATTGGACATATTATATCAGGAAAAGATATTCTCACTGGAACTTTAAAAAATAGTTTGAATCCGTGAAGACGGGAGGGAAGAGGAACCTAAAGACATAAACCACATTAGCTAGCATTATCTTGCAAGTACATAATAATGGAACAAGATTAGTGTGGGGAATTGGAGCTGAGCAAGAGAAACACTTGTGAGACTTTTTCAGTCTGTCCCCACTGGCTGAAAATCATCTAACAAATAAGCGGACTAGCTGCTTTCAGCATCCATGCATTGAAAAGTCTATCCGAAATGGTAAGGAAAGACAAAGAAATGTCAACTTATTCCTCTTAGGGAAAAGAAAAATAAAATTTGGTGGAGGGGAGACTCTTCAATGGTTTCCCCTATATTTTTCTTCTCTAAGGTCCCAGTTTTCAATGTGTTATGTAAATCAGGCTATGCCCTTTTATCCAATTTGTTAACTAACCAACAACTCCTTATCATAAAAGAAGTTCCAGTCAGGTTGTGCCTTTTTACTCCTATCTATCTTAAGCTTTCAAAGAACAGATCATATCCCACTGCTTTAATAAAACCATCCACAGATTTATCTCCTTCCATGAGTCCCTATATCTCCTACTCATTAATTTCATCAATAAACCACAAGGACTGTTTACTAACACCATATATAATCTCCTAGAATACTTATGTAGGACAAGCTCCAAACTAGATCATAGAACTATTTAAAATAACTACAGGACTGGTAAAATCAAAAAGGAGAAATGTAATTTCACAAAGTTCAGAGGCACTATCCTAATAATTGTTATACTATCTTGCATAGCAGTAAGAATAAACATTAAAAACTACTTGGTAGAAGATTATAGATTTTAAAATTTATAATCTGCTGCTAATCATGTAAAATTAAGAGAATCAATCTATTAAAACACAATGAATGTTCAGTATTTTTATGTCTTCTTTTCCTACTTGTAATGGTTTTATCCATCCAACCAGCAATAGTTACTACTAAGGAGAATGTACTATGTGACAGCCGCTATGGTAAGTACTAGAGATATAAAGGTGACCAAAACCAAACAAGGTTCCTACACTCCAAGGAGTTCAGTCTAGAGAAGTACATAAATAATCCAGTAAGAATATAGTTTAAAATATGGTTAGACACAGAGATAAATATTCTGTAGAGGAGGAACATGAGCCCCATAAAACTTTGTAGCAAATAAACTTGACCTAGTGGGAAAAG